TAAGTAAAAAAAGTTTCCTTTAATCTCTTTTTTAAGGTTTATTTACTTATTTTCGAGAAAAATAAAAAAAAGGTTTCGTTACCTTGTTGTGTTCGTCGTTGGAGAGAGTGAAGCTTAGGGGTTTTCGAGGCTTTTAAGGTCTTGATTTTGTGTTTTCAACCTTAAATTGGGGTTTTGGGTGTTAGATTGTGAGTTTTGGGTCTATTTGGGGTTTAGTTTAGGTCATCAAACCACCGTGGATGGTGGATGGTGGTTGGCGATGAGGTTACGTGGCGTTTGGTTCACAAGAATCCCTTGGAATTAGGGGGAATTGGAATCCAATTCCACCACTTTCCCATGTTTGGTTCAAGTTTTCAAAGGGAATTAGAATCCCTCATGACTTCAACTTTTCATCAAATGAGGGAAAGTGAATTACATCCATTCTATGATGAAATTCAATTCCCTTGTTGGAGGGAATTGAAATTTGATCATACTACCCTCATCAATCTTTTGGTAACTTATTCATATATTGAATAAAAATATTTTTTTTATTATTTCGGGTCGGGTCGGGTTTCTAATTCATAAATTCGGGTCGAGTCGGGTGAAACTTTATTTTGGTCGGGTCGGTTTTTTAGGTGTGATATTCGGGTCGGGTCGAGTTCGGGTTAAGGGTGAAAAATACTCGACCTGACCCAACCCAAAAAATATATAATTTTACCTTATATATTTAGGAATAATTACAATAATACCCCTATATATATAATTCTTTTCAATTAAGTCACTGTTTTTATTGAATAAAAATATTTTTTTTATTATTTCAGGTCAGGTTTTTAATTCATATATTCGGGTCGGGTAGGGTGAAACTTTATTTTGGTCGAGTTGGGTCTCGGATGGAGGTTCCCTTGTTCTCGGGTCGGGTCGGGTGGACTAAAAACCCGACCCATGGTCATCCCTAATTAGGATGATTTTAACTTATGATATTTATTAGCATGATTTTTATAATTTATTGAAATAAATAATCAATCAATAAAATTAAAATTTAATATTTTTAAAAAATTTATAATATATTACTACATGTAATTTATAAAACAAACTAAAATTAAGAAAAAAAACAAGAAGGGTAATCCTGTCATTTTATATTACTGAAATCAAATTCATCTGACATGTCTGCGAACCAAACAGAATATGGAATTGAATTCCAATTCAATTTCCTGCAAACCAAACAGAATATGGAATTAGATTCAAATTCCTGACAGATTCCAATTCCTTCACAGATTTCAATTCCCTCAGAAATATTCTAGTGAACCAAACGTCACCTTAGAGTTTTTAAGGGGCAGTCGATTGAAACTTTGAGAGAAAATACAATATTTTTTCCCTATTTACGGATAGAGTTTGAGAATGAGGAAAAAAGGGGATTTAAATATGTGATGTGCTCATTTATTTTTGTTGCATCTAGATTAAAGAAATATGTCATACATTTTTTCAAATTTTTGTCACATTATTTCAAACAGGGTATGTTCTCAAATTAATTAGACATTCAATATCTTTCTAGACGTTGGAGGATTTCGAGGTTATTTAACGAGAGAACATATCTTTGATTTTTTTTCATAAAAACAATATCATGAGAATTTTTGGACTTTGATGAACATTTTTAATTTTATTAGACCTTAAAATTTTTTAAGGTGTTTTAAAGAGTTGTAAGTTCCAAGTTTTTGCACAATTCATAAAATTCGAGGTGTCTTCTTGAATCGGATTAAATTTCAATATTCTTCTAGATGTTGAAGAATGTTTGAAATGACCTATGAAAGAATTCGCCATCGAAATTTTCACATATTAATTTATGAATTTTTAGGGTTTTCGAGCATAATTTTGATTCTCTTAGTTGTTAGAGAAGTCGAAGTTATTTTTATAAATTTAAAAATTCTCTATTAATATAAAAATACAATAATTGCATACACGAGTCGAGATGAAATATTTGTGGTCAAGTAAACATCATTTTTATTGGTGTTGTGAGGGTGCTAACCCTTCCTCACACGTAACCGTGCCCCCGAACCCGATTTTGGTTTTCGCAGACCCTAAACAATTTTTGGTGATCCAATCACACCTAAACATATTATTGGCGACTCCTAACATTGTTTTAAATACGAACCAAATTTTGAAGAGAAATTTTAAGTTGTCCATTTCAATGGTTTCGGGTCGGATTGAATTAGAGTGTTACACCAAAAGCCTATCAAAACGAACCGACAATGTTATCCAAACATTTAAACATTTGCTTAGCTCCAGAGTCTTTTTTGCTTCCTTTAACAAGAACGCAGTCTTTTTTGCCAGTCTAATCACATGTGAACATAAACATTTAAACATTGAGCTTGACAAGCTCAATGACACAACTGCTCTACAATAATTCATGCTATCCATGATATAAGCGCATATGATATAAGTATAAATATGGATATATGACAACAACATGCATACATCATTTAAGCATACTTCTCATAATGATAGCATACCATGCAACACTACTAATATGAACATCACAGAATAAATCATAGAAATAGTCGGATCATAGGATCTATACCACACAACAGCATACCAACGATCAATACATTGTCTAGTCCATATAACGTCGTGTATTTGAATGATATAACGTCCGGTCCACAAAGCATAAGATATTAGAATGATATGATATTCAGTCCACTTAACCTCAGACAACCCTTATGCGGCTCTCTATATTATGCTAACTGGATTCACATGGTCTCAAAAAGCACGAACCAAATACATTCAATCATTTACCTAACACCACCAATGGCAGATCGAGAAATATTTTTCAGGGTGAACACATAAATGTTAACAACATAGATTTTTTAAATGGGATAGATACAAATAAAATTTCAGGATGACAACGCAATTTCTAGCTGGTGTTTCCGATGCTTATTGAAACTCAGGGCAGTTGCTACTCCTGTTTTATCTACAGGAGCTTCTAAGACAAAAGATTTCTGGAAAGAACTACGGGTAAAAGGAGATAATCTCTCATGGCACAAATTGATATGGTTTACTCTACACATTCCAATAGCATGATTACATGGATGGCGCTTCTAGATAGACTCCCAACTAAAGAAAGACTACATAGAATGGGGATTGTTACTGAAAGCTCATGTATAATATGCAAGGAGGCTACGGAGACTAGGGACCACTTATTCAGTGACTGTACTCTGACAATTTCCGTATGGAATAAAATTCTTACTCTCTCCGGCTTTGACACTCCTACTTTACCATGGGTGAGCATGTTAGTCTGGGCCTGTAGAGCTTGGAAAGGGACTTACCCTACTCACAACTATCTTGAAACTAGCTTGGTGCACTTTAATATATTCAATGTGGGAGGAAAGAAATAGAAGACTATACCGAGGAAGCACAAGAAGCGTGGAAGAAATTGTGAACTCTATAAAGGAGAATGTAGGTATTCAATTAAGAGGTAGGAATATAAATAGATCAGATAGTATGAATATTTTCCTCTGTAATCGCTGGGGTGTTTGACCATCCATTTTGTTGTTAGTAGGTTGTAATTATCCCAATTAAGGGATATTTTTTGTAGCAGAACTCTGCATCTTGGGTAATAAAATTTAAAATTATCCCAAAAAAAAATTCAGGATGGTCACTTTCCGTAAAATAAGTAACTAATCGTAGAAAACTCATATTTCATGATAACACCATCAGTAAAATAAGTAACTAAACGAAGAAAATTCGAATTTCAAGATAAACATGTGTCAGCTCTCACCAAGCTATGGCTCCTTCGTTTACACCACATATGATTGAGTATCAAATAGGGCCAATACAACCGCATCAATGATCATTGAGTAATACTCCTAAATTTTTATCATGTTCATATACATGAAGTCTTTTGATAGTGTCTATTGTCAGGAAGTCCACAGTCAGATAGTCCTCCATCAGACAATCCTTCACCATTTTTTAAGTTTTATGAGTGTAGGGCAAGATTTATCTTTTGACACGACTCTTATGTCTTGCATATGTAAATAACGATGTTTAAATTTATAAAAGAGTAGTTAGGTTTGGGTAGTGGCCTGGGTGTGCTCCAGTTTCATCGAAGGCATAGGTTTGATCCTCCTTAATACCAACTCTTTAAATTTGTTTTTTCATCCAATCAGGTGGTGGCATATGTACCGCCTAATTAAAATTAAAAAAGTATCATCTATTCATATGATGACATCATTGGATTGAGAGATTAAATTTATAAATTAATTTAAAATTAAAACCAAATCTATAGGTGTGTGAGTATTTGATTGGATATAATTGAATAAATAGTTGGCTTAATCGACAAAATTAAAAGATCTATAATAAAAATAAAATGGGACAATAATTAAGTAATCATTTTATTTTAGGGTAAATTATGCGTTTAGTACCTAAACTATCAGTTTTAGTCCATTTTAATACCTAAACTTTCATTTTTTTTCAAAACTATACTTAACGTTTGATTTTTGTTTCATTGTAGTACCACAACTCAAAATTTAACGTTACTTTTAAAAAAAATGAAAGTTTAAGTGCTAAATGTGTTAAGTTTTTAACGTTGGGTACCAAAATGAAATAAAAATTAAACGTTAGGTATGATTTTAAAAAAATTAAAAGCTTAAGTATTAAAACTGACAATAACTTCAAGATTTTTTTAAAAGAAAAAACTATCTAGTGAGATTGGAATGAGAGGTTTAGCCTATTAAAGTCTAACTTTTTAATTCCTTGTAAAAATTCTAAAAATAAAGAATTTAATTTTCAATATTTCAAAAAAATTTATAAAATAAATTTCCTCAAACCTTCTAATCCAAACAGTATTAGTATTCACAACTTAAATTTTTATATAGAATCACATTAATTTTGAGATAAATATATTTTTATTTTAATCAAAATAGATAATTGTAAAATAGTCCCTACAAGTATTTTCTACCAAAAATATAATTTTAAAAAATACCCTTCTCCTTAATCAATGAATTCAGCGCTTACAAGAAAAAAAAATACTAGAGTGATTGTATCTCCAGCTCTGCAATTTGTTGATCCTTTGCCGTCGATGAAGATGAAGCAATTGGCTGATCATCTTTCTGATTATCTTCATCGACGGTGGTATTCATTTCTTGAACCGGAGGAGGTTTAATAACGGTGATCGGTGTTTCGGTGTTATCGTTTACATGGTTCCTCATCTCTCGATGTTCTTGGCACAGCGCACACCAATGCAAGAAGCAGTGAACCAGGCAAGGATCGCATGGCGAGTTCTGCATAGAGCAATGCACGCACACATGCAATCGGGAGATAAAGGATTAAAATTTTCAAATATAAATAGTATAAAGGACTAGAGTTACAAAATAAAAGAGATAAAGGATTAAAATTTTCAAACACCACACTCATTGCAATGAATGTCTTTAACATTTAAATAAATAGTCGTTTTAATCTTGTTATTTTTTTAGTATTTTGGCATTCAATGTTTTGTTTTGGTGCAAAAGAGTCTCCTTGTAAATAAAATTGTTAGTCAACAAACATAAACGTTTCAAAATACGGGTATTTTTGTCATAAAATAAAACATTATGAGCCATGTTGAGGCGGCTCAGTTAACTCAGTTAAGATCTAAATTAATCAGTTAATTGATTAAAACAAGAAATTAATCGATTTTTCAAATCAAACTGACCAACTTGTATCCCGTAACCCTAATTCCATGGATAAAAAAACATACCTTGAGATGATATTTCTTCTGCAGTGATTGACGAAACAAGCCATTGTAGATCCCACACAGCCACCAAGCAAAAAGGAGTGTCTCGCAGATGAGGAACGAGGTTTGTGGGTCGATGCCGTGGAATAAGAGGGTGGCCGCCGCCGCCGCCATTCCTCCTTCTACGCACAGTGCATGGCACATGCATGCGTCGTTCCTCGTTACGTCTTCTCTCAATGTTTCCACGTTTTGTCCGAACAACACACATGGACAAAACATACCCATTCGACCTGCACCAAAGTTTAATGTACATCATTGACAAGAAATAACATTTGGCTATAGGGACGGATCCAGAATTCCAACTCAAGAGATAAAGTATACTAATCATGGAAAATGAGGGTCGGTATAATTAATCATAAAAATGAGGGGTAAAGTATAATTAATCATAAAAAATGAGGGGACAAAATCAAAATAAACTAAAATTAGAAACTCTAATTTAATATTTACCCATATAATTTTTTAATAAAAATTGAGTGGGCAGTGGCCCCCGGGACCAAGGGTAGTTTCATCCCTACTCGGCTCAATCCGATTCGATTCATATCTATTTAGTGGCGGAACACAAGAGGGATTAGTGGGGATCATGCCTCCTAAAATCTAAAAACTTATAATTTAGACCTTAAAATTTTCAAAAGTTTTAAATTGACCCCTAATTTTTTTAGAAATCCATAATAAACTTAAAAAAATTAATGTTCTTAATTAAAATCTCTCCTATAATTTTTAAAAATTCTCATTAAGCTTATCAAAATTTCAAAAATTCTAGTTAGACATTTTTTGGAAAAATGTAAATTAAACCCTTAAAAAAATTTGAACTTTTAATTTAAACCTCTGAACTTCCCCCAAAATCTATCACCATATTTTGTCAGTGTGTCAATCTCCTAGTCAAGGCAACTTACCTTCTCCCCTTACATACACAATGATATGAGGAAGTCTATAATTTTGGACCCTTAAAATTTTTAATTTTGCTCCTCCAAAATTTTTAGAAATTCATATTAAACTTTAAATTTTTTAATATTCTTAATTAAAATCCCTCATATAATTTTTAAAAATTCTCATTAAGCCTCTCAAATTTTTAAAAATTCTAGTAAAAATTCCTATTTTTTAAAAATTCTCAATAAACCCTTCAAAACTTTTGAAAATTTTAATTTAAACCACTGAACTTTTTAATTTATACCACTGAACTTTTTAAAGTATTAAGTTGTCTCCCCCAAACTCTATCATCATGTTCTGCCACGGTCTATCTCCTACTCAAGGCACCTTACCTTCGCCCCTTACATACACGATAATATGGGGATGTTTAAGGGACGACAACCTAATTTATGGTTAAAAAGGGCAATCTTGGGTTCAACCGAAAATGTGATAAATATCATAATATTTTAAGTTGGACGCAACATAAAATTTTAAAGGCTGGAAATGTGATAAATATCATAAATATTTGTTTTAAATACTCTCAGTCATTTGATAATGAACGCCCAATCACCCTGTTGAAGCCGCTTGTGCTCGAACCCGTGACCTCTAGGAACAACAATGATTCCTTTAACCACTGAGGTAAATTGATTCATGCAAGCTAGAAATATATTTTAATGCAGTTAGAATTGAATTTTTAAAATGTTGGGTCAAAGTGTAATTTTACCTTTATACTAATTAGAAATTTCAAAAGGTTTTAAGGGATTAAAGAGAAAATTTTCTATTTTATCATACCCGTGGCTGTACTTTACCATTGCAACCAACCTACAAATAGGGATGGCGAAAGATCGGGTTGGGTCGGGTTTTGTTCGACCCGATATGAATAATATGTGTCATCCACTTGAATCCGACTCAATTCGAAAAATATATATTCTCTACTGACTTCTACTCAATCCAAAATATATATATCTCCATCCAACTCTGATCCGATCCGAATTTGTAAAGTATAAACCCAATTCTACCCGGTATAAAATAAGAATTTTATTAAAAACAATAATTTTTTTAAAAGAAATTACATTATTATCCTTGGGTCGGGTCGAATCGAAGTTTTTCACCCTCCATCCGAATCCGATCCCAACCCTATCAGATCGAGTCAAGTTGGAACCCGTTGACTTCAGGTTAAATTACCATCCCTACCTACAAATGTGTTTATATATAGCAGAAATATATTGTTAATTTTTTTTTTTTTTATAAACATCTATTTATTGTTGATTTAATCTATATATTTTCACTCAATAAATAATTCTAAAAAATAATATAAAATTTGGAATAACCGGAGACTTACAGCTCTGAGTGTCTTGAAGACATCCGAAAATGCCAGTGGTCCAGTCTTCATCAGCAAGTGGCACATAGGATTCAGGTAAAGGCTGACCACATTCCGGGCATCTATGAAGTATTAACTATAAAATTAAATCCAATAATGATAAATCAATAATTAGAGAGGAAAGTAAAATTAACATTTTTAAAATTCTTATTAAATTTATAACTTTTTTTTTTAAATTTGGTCCCTTTAACATTTTTAAAATTCTTATTAAATTATAATTTCTTCAAACATTTTTTAATTAAGTTTCACCTTAAAATTTTAAAAGTTTGGGTAAAATATACAAATGGTCCCTCGCCTATATAGTACTATTTTGTTGAGTCCTTTGACTATTAAAAGTTACAAAATGTTCCCTTTGGCTATAAGGCAGTGCTTTGTTGAGTCTCATGACTATTAAAAGTTGCAAAATAGTCACTCAACATATGTTTCAAACTCATCATTTTCCGTTAAAAGTTTGATGATCGCTAGTATGTTAACGTCCAGCTCAGATTATTGTCAATTTTTTAATGAAAAATGACAAATTTGGAACATATGAATTGTCAGGTAATCATTTTGTAACTTTTAATAGTCGGGGACTCAACAAAGCAGCACCTTATAGTTAGGATCATTTTGTAACTTTTAATAGTCGGGAGACTCAACAAAGCATCACCCTATAATCGAGGATCGTTTATGGATTTTACCCTAGAAGTTTTCAAAAATTCTAGAAATTTTAATTTTATTTTTTAGAAAAAGGGTAAACTACATCAGATACCACCAAACTTTAGGCGTTGTATCGTTTATACCACTAAACTTTCAATTTTGCCAATTATAGCACTGAACTTTGATTTTCGTTTCAATTATACTAGTGAACCGTTAAATCGTTAACGGAACGATGATGTGGCTGACGAATATTGACATGGTTGATGGCTTCCAACGTAGACACCTCACCAAAACGATGTCGTTTCGATCTAGCTGTGAATGATTTAACAGCCTATTGGTATAAATGAAACGAAAATCAAAGTTTAGTGCTATAATTGATAAATTTTAAAGTTCAGTGGTATACACGATATAACGCCTAAAGTCCGGTGGCATCTAGTGTAGTTTACCCTAAAAAATAAATAATCTCCTCTCATGATCTTCAATTACTCCATATTAAAAACCGGATCATATAATAGTCTTAGACGAGAGAAAATCTATCGTTTAAGTCATGACCTGAGGAACGGTGACAGGCTGATTGAGTTCGCCGGGGGTGATGTCTTCGACGGGATCTTTGTCTCTTCCGAGCCTCACGTAATGTGAAGGCCCATTGCTCGGATCCATCTGTAATAATTCCAACAACAACAACAAAAAAACATGTTTTGTCACCAATATTGTAAGTAACAGATGACCCAAAAAACAGAGAAATCAATTGCTGTAAAAAAAAACCATTGTTTCCGGCGGCGATGCTCCTGAAAGTGAAGAAGAAAACCGGAAAAAAGCGGGAAAAAAACTAAAAGTGAAGCATGGAAGCCCGTCTGAATCTGAACATCGTTTTTTCAATAGGAATTAGTCAATTTTCTTCTATTTATAGTGACTTCTTTTTTCTGCAGAAAAATGGGGGGTTTACGGTTTCACAGGATGGTATGAATTAATATAAGAGTTAATTGTATTATATGTCCCCAAACTATGATCCTCATTTCAAATTAGTTCTTAAACTTGTAAGCATTCCAAATTCATCCCCAAACTATGACTCATTCTAAATTCCTCCTTAAACATTTGAAAATTTCAATTTCATCCTTAAACTATGACTCTCATTCTAAATTGATCCCTAAACTTTTGAATCTTTTAAATTTCATATCCAAATTTCATTTAAATACGTAATCAGTTTCAATCATAATTTAACTTAAATTTTATTTTTTTCAAACATGTAATAATATAACTTGGCCTAATAATTTTATTAACAAGGGATTTGATTAATATATATGTATAATGTGGGATGAAATTGAAATGTTCAAAAAGTTTAGGGACCAATTTAGAATGAAGATTATAGTTTGGGGATGAAAATGAAATGTTTAAAAGTTTTAAGATCAATTTAGAATATAGTTATAGTTTAAGGATGTGATTAGAATGTTTAAAAGTTTAGAGACTAATTTAGAATAAGGATCATAATTGAAAGACATGTGATACAATTAAATTTTAATATATATATATATATATATATATATATATATATATATATAAACAAACAAACATTAATAATTTGATTTTAATTTTTCTTTCTACGAGGGATGAGAGGAATTTATGCAGAAATCAAATCCGATATTAGCATAGTATAAAACCGTTTCAATTATTGAATTATAAAACTTGCCCATATTGACTATAATATATTGCTTAGTCACTTGATTATTCATATATTCTAAACTCATCATTTTTGTTAAAAAATTAATGACATTCTGAGTTGGACGTTAACATACTAATTGATTTAATATTTTTTTATTTAATGACGATGGCCTATAGAGTACGTAGGCAAAATTGGCCCAACACAACACACGAGCTTTTTATTTAGCCCTAGACGACACAAAGCACTTTATTTATGAATTACGGTATTTTATAGTGTTCGAGGAACTAGTCACGCCCACATGACGAGTTCTCTCGAAAAAATATATTTTAATAGACTCAGTCGTTGGGTTTAATATTTTATTATATTTCTTGGAACTTGTCACATTGACATGACGAGTTCCATTAATTTTTTTAATTTAGAGATTTATTTTTTTTATAATAATTATATAAAAAACACAAAATTTGTCATGTTGGCGTGACGAGTTTCTATTAGTTTAAAAATTAGTCGTTTATAGCCATTGGGCGACATACATGTTTTAAATTGATTAGGAACTCGTCATTTGGGAGTGACGAGTTCCAACGATCATATTGATAATTTTTTGTATAAATAGGAGTGGAGTGAGTTGATGAAGTTTATATGAGAAGTGAGGAAGAAAAAAATGGAAATCAAATAATGTATACGCGGGGAAAATTTTATTCGATTTCTCGAAAGGTCCTTATGGGTTTGACGACTCAAACTTCGATGATTCGAATTCAAGCTCGTCTTCAGATGAGGAGTGAGTAAAGGAGACAATAAAGTCTATACTTGATGAACATAAGGAGTGGAGGAAACTTGAAGAAGAGAATAAGGAGACGAAAATCAAGAAGAAGAATAGGAAGAAGTATGAAGACTTACTACTCAGACGTAGTAAACGACTTATAGAGAGGCATGAAAAAAATAAAAAAAAAATAGTATGGAAATTGAGAAGAAGAAGAAAACAAAAAGTTGATTTTTATGTTGAAAGAATGTTTTAAATATATGTATGAATTTGTGTTTAGTAATCAAGTAACTATTTTTTTAGTTAAAAGTTATGAATAGTTTGCAATTATGTATGAGAAGTTGAAAATAAAGATGCTTAAGGAAGTTTAAAATTTAAAAAGATCAAGTGAAAGATAAAAAATAAATAAGTACATAAACAAAGTAAAAAAAAGGTACAACTAAAAACATGAACTAAACACAATTCCGAAGCTTGGGTAGACCTTGTTCTCATTGAGGATCATCTATATCGGCATGAATTCGACTAGATTTATGTCGACCCTTCAACTTCCTACATAATTCTGGACTTGACAACCATTCTTCAGAAATAGTTGATGGCCAATAAGTATCGTTTGAGAGATACTTAAACTCACAATTTTATATGTTGCGCATGGTATGCAAACTATAACAATCATCATCATAAGAGTATAGGTCAACATTAACATGCATACATACAATGACAACATGAGCATATGAGTATCTAAAAGCTTAAAATCGATCGCAATCACACCATATTCTATTGAGATTATGTAATTAGAATCAAGTCTGGCAGAATTATGAACAAACATTGATGTTGCATGTGTTTGATTTTTTTATTGCCTTCTCCAAACATGAAGCCTAATTTCTCCCATCGTTGATCATAGTCTCTATTTGTGCACATTTGACTGTCCAAACTTTACCCAATCTGAAGTAAACCTCCCTAACAATATTTGCTACCGAAAGATGATGAGTCCCTTTAATCACTGAGTTGATACATTCGGCCAGATTGGTTGTCATATGACCGTAACGTTACCCTGATCATCATATGCACGAGACCATATTTCCCGAGGTATTTCAGCTGTAAAGTTATAAATATTTTCTCCGCATCTCTTCAAATTTTCTAACCGTGGATGGAAGTTTGGTTGTATAAAAGCATATCCTGAAAAAATTTGGGCATAAGAATAATAAATAAAGCATAAATTATTAACGAAAAAAATGTAGAAGTCACCCATGTTGATAATTTCATTTTTGATCTCAAACCTTGTCATAGAATTAGAGGCAATATGACGTATACAATACGTCAGATATGCATGGAGACGTGACTACTTACTTTTTGGTCTAGATATCGTCGCTAATAACCCAAGTGAACAATATGATATCATATAAACCCTATCTTGAGTGACAACATAGGAACACAAGTTGGAGAGAAAGAAATTCCAAGTTTTCTCCGACTCATTTTAACAATGGGGAAGGTAATTGGGGAAAATATTTCTATCACCATCTTGTGCAACAACTATCATCAGGACGTGTTTATATACCTCATACAAAAAAATATCATCCACTTAAACCATTTGTTTGTAAAATTGAAACCCTTCAATAGATGACTTGATTATTTGATGATTGATGCAGTCAAACCATAACAACAAGAACTATCATCAGGACATATTTTTGTCACCATCTCGATCATTTGATTATTCGATGATTGATGCAGTCCAACCATAACAACAATATCGTCATCATCCTCAAACTGGATTGTTCCATATATGAGTGGAGTTTCTAAGATTATGTGTCATAACTCAAATATGAAATAGAAGTTCCAAGTTTTCTTTCAATTTTCTGCTTGATTTGGCAATGAGATACATCTACAGGGAATATCATGTTTACGGGTCTCTGTGACATAAACACAAAATCATCATCAATTTGTAGAATTTGGCCATAGGAATAGACAACTGTGAAAAATTTGTTAGCCACTATTTAAAAAATTATGGAGATTTAAGGAAGTTGTAAAAAGTAGATGATTTTTGAAGATTCAAAGAACATAAAACAATTTAAAAGGCATTATCAAAACGTCCTTGGTATTTTCGGTGATATACCAACTCAATTCAGTGATATATCAAACCATTGAATGATGTTTTTGATCATTTTTAATGAAAAACATCCTTTTTCTTTTCAGTGACCATTGAATGAAAAATGACAAATAATCTTTTAAGTGATATATCACTTTATTTTTGAACTTTTCAGTGATATATCACCTTAATTCAGTGATATATTAGACCTTATCATAATAATTAATTAGACTTTATCATAATAATTCAAAACATCAATTTTCTTTTCAGTGATATATCACCTCATTTCTAAACTTGTTGACCATATTTAATAATTGATCAGATTCTATCATAATAATTTCACCATGACTTTTCAATGATATATCACCTCAAAATTATTTTTCAGTGATATCTGAATGAAAAACATTATTTTCCTTTCATTAACATATCACCTAATTTTTGAACTTTTCAGTGTTTATTTAATAATTGATCAGACCCTATCATAAGAATTTCATCATGACTTTTCAGTAATATATCGCCTCAAAACGACTTTTCAGTGATATTTGAATTCAAAATGTCATTTTTCTTTTCAATGATATATCACCTTATTTTTAAACATATTGGCCATGTTTAATAATTGATCAGACCATATAATAATTATTTCACCATAACTTTTCAATGTTATATAGTCATGCTCATATGAGAGACACAATTTCATCGTTCAAATTCCTATTTCGAAGATTTTCATGGCAACAATTTGAGCAATAATTTATTGTGAGGGAAAAATTTTCATCATCTCCTTTGAGGGAGACATTCAACTTCTTGACTAAAGTTCTGGAGCTAATGAAGATTCAACACTTTCTTTACTAAAGTTCTGGTTTCCAACATATTTGGTTTCATAACATTCATCAATGGGTTATCTGAACAATGACAATGCAGTTCGAACAATGATTGACACATACATTACCAATTCGACGAGTAATATTAATTTATTTGTCGAGTATAATAAGCAAGCCGCAACTCCTATATCAAAAACAAAACTATAAAGAGTAAGATGTGAGGGTAACCACTTAATGCTTCTATTGTAATGTAATGTAATGTAATATAGGAGTTAACGCTTCGAATGTAATGTAGAGTTAATGTTTATAATGTAATGTATGACTTAATACTTCGAATGTAAATTTAGTTTGTATTTAGTAAAAATTATCAATATTATAGTTGGAACTTGTCACTCCCCCATGACGAGTTGTTTATGTCTATTGTATAATAGCTAGTTTTTAAACCAATAAGAACTCTTCATGCCGACATAACGAGTTCTATAGTTTTTTTAATATTATTATAAAAAAATAAATCTCTAAATTTAAAAAATTAATTTTTTTAATGAATTCATCACACCGATATAACGAGTTTAAAGAAATATAATAAAATATTATACCCCACGGTTGGGTTCATTAAAATATATATTTCGATAGAACTCGTTATGTCGGTGTGACGAGTTTCCTAAACACTATAGAAAATACCATAGCTCTTTAAATAAAATGCCTTGTGCTGTATTGGGTTAAATAAAAAGATCGTAGACCGTAGTAAGCCAATTTTGATGTAACAATATGACCCACAATTAGCAAAAGAGATGACAAATATTTGAGTAATTTTGGCCCAATATCGTAGGTTGACTAATTATTTAGCTCAACATGACATTAGATATTTTATTTTGGAAACTATGACATTTGTTATAATAACTTGAAACTCGTCACGTAGGCAAGACGAGTTTCAATAAAATATTTTTTTATTGAAACTTATCACATCGAAGTGATAAAATCTAATAAAAATATATTTTATTAGAACTCAACACTTCGACGTGGTGAATTTAAATAAAAAAAATATTATTTAGATAAATTTATCCGAGCGTAACGGATTTATCTTGTATTGTAATACTTGCCGATCTCAAATTAATTTTGAAAAAGGCGTAATGGGCTAATTCTTTTATACGTGGACCAATTTTTCCCAGCAGAATAAAAGAAGGATTCCCCCCTTGATCGTACCCTTCACGGCCCAATACCAATCAGGTTTCGCTGTCCTTTCTTCATCGAACATCCGAGTCTGTTAACTCATTGCGTGTTGAAATTCATTGAATCGATCTGCAAAACCTTTCGCGGATAATTGAATTGATAACTCGAGAAGATAAGATTTTAAGTAAGTCTTTCCTGAATTTACTTCTGAAAGATTAAAAATTGTGTTCATCGTTGATTACTTGGTAATGGATTTTGGTTTCCTTTTCTTAACCATTCTTCTATGAGTTTGCTTCTCTATTATTCATATTTGAGGTGTTTTTTTTTTATTTATAATCACTTGTTATTTCCCCCTTTTATTAGTTTTAGAGGTTGAATCTAATGAGGGATGCTGAAAGATGCAGAAATGGAGAAGGGGCACCTTTGGTGGTAAGTAATTTTGTTTGAAGATGCTTTATTCGAACCTGTATGCTGTTTAGGAGTCCAGATTTTATCGAGTTTTAAGGGGTTCTTTAACCAAGATGTTTAGCCCGATCTGGGTTCTAGTTTGAACTTATAATATGCTAGGGTTCTGCTTTCTCTGTTTTGTATTTTGTTTCCTTTAGTATTGCTTAATTTTATGTTGCACCGGCTCCACTTTTATTATTTTCTTCAAATACCTGTGTTTATATTTGTATATTAGTTTGGGGATATATTCCTCCAAAACCCTTTCAATACATGGAGGTCTTGGTTTGGTTTTTAAGGGCACAAGGCGCACCGAGACGCAAAAAGTCCCTGTAGCCTAGTTGCACTGTTTGTAATATATAATATATATCAAGTGTAAACTATATTTTGTATTCAAAATAACATGATAAATAATATTATAGTTCTTGAAAGATCTAAATATTCAATACCATTACAGTATCAACTAACAATTAACAACACACAAACTAACATAAAAAACATAGATGTAATAGAAGAAATAAAATCTTAAGGATTATGTTTAAACTTTATTTATAACTCGACTCAATTTTTTTTAAATAAAGTTTGAGTTATAAAATAAGACTCGTCAACTTGACTAAGTCAAAAAAAAATTACTGGACTCGATCGAATGCTCACCCCTACATGGAAGAACTTAGAAAATTTTGAACATACTTGTGTCGGACAAAGCTGTATCCGACGCTCATGTCCAACTCCAAGTAAAATAAATTCCATTTGTAATTGGAACTGATATCACCGAATTTAGTTTTATAGAAGGTTTCTCTTCGGCCTTTTATCTTTGATATAAGATCTTCGTTTGTGATAACATTTTGTTTTCTTAACTTGGAGTTATAGCTCTCTCTATATTTATCTCTCTGCGCTGGGTAAAATTGTTGTTATAGTTCTTTGGTTAATTTCATTAAGACTGCATCTACCCTGTGTTGTAACCTTCAAGTAACAGCAACCCTGTTGTCAGGCAGAGAATGATGGTCAGGGAGTCGACGGGCTTATTCCTCAGTTATTTACCTCACTACCAGCTCTAAATGGTGCTGTTTCTTGTCTTGCACAAACAACTACTTTATTTACTGGTTGTTTTTCTGATTATGCTGGTAAGTTGCTAATGTTCATCTTGTATTTCTTCTCACCCTTTTCCATTTGCAATTTTTATGTTGTACAGAAGTATCATTTTTTGTTCTTATTATTCCTTCTTCTTTTCCGAGATTTAATCATTTTCCTTTGATATGTCGTTTTCATGTGAAACTTGCTAATAAATCAAACTAACGATCTTCATTTCTTTTTGGCTTTTATTTCTGCTCATTGGTTTTACCCGTGAACTGTGGATGATTTCATTGAAATTCTTTTGGCAATGTTGCAGTGGATTCTTCTTCTGGAGATTTGAGTGATTCGGTTGTACATGCACAAGAATTAGAAACATTTTATTCTGAACCGAATGAGGATGATTCTGTGATTAGTAATACTCCAAATTCAAGTGAAAGCAGCACAGCTGTGTCTGAATCCTCTACTCTTACAATTACTGCCTCTGCTAACCATGATGGAATAGCAAGGGCCTCTGCAGGAGATCCATCCGAAATTACCGGTGCAATTGTACAATCAAGTTATCATGGGCAAAATGGGATTTCCATTTTCAAAGGGTATGAAGTCATGTATGCTTAATTTTGAAGGTCTTATATGGGGAAATTTGTGAAAATGGATTGTGATTTGAAAATGCCTTCCATTATTCAATCGTTATTGTTACACATGATGCTAAAAGGTCAAAGCATTCACAGTTTTTAAGTTAAGTTCCACTTATGCTCTCAATGGAGCTACTTTTCAATTTTAAATCATGGAGATTTTTGGTTAATTATCTTCCCCTTTCCTTTGATCTCTGTTTGTAGTTCTTCTTAGTAAGTGTAGAAATGGTTTTAGTTATGGGTATTATATGGAGTACTGAATTATTCCAATCTTTTCACAAACAAAAAACCTTAGGCTTATTGATAGAGCACAGAGGACTGTTCGTGGATCCACAGATGATATAGGATGGTTGAAGCGTGATCCCGAGATGCCTCCGGTTGAAGATGGAACCGAGAAGTTCACAGAGATTTTAGACAATATTAGGTAAACCGAGCTTTGCATTTTTGCGTCTATATTATTACTTAGCATGTTTATGCACTTCTTGATTAGTTGGCTCTCATTTTGTTAGGCACGGTCTGCACAAACTGCCAAATTCAATGGTTTATTTATTGGTTCCAGGTATGTAATCAGTTTTCTCTCCTGAAAACAACGGTATTTGTACTCTGTTTTTAGGAAAGGCTTATATTACAAATTAAGTACCTGAAGTATTCAATTTTTTCATCCAAGTACCTAAAGTATTCTTTAATTAATGTCACGTGTCAACTTCTTTAGCGCTTAGATAGGTACCTATTTTGACAAAAAATACTTTAGTTACCTATTTTGACCGAAAAGATAACTTTAGGTGCTTATTTTGACCAAAAAATACTTCGGGACTTAAATGAAAAAGATGGTATATTTTAGGTACTTATTTGTGAAATAAGCCTTTAGAAAATTACATTTTTAGTAAAAATTTACTTTAGACACGTTAAGGCATCAGAGATTTTTTCTTAAAAATTTTAGGAGGAAAAGAAACCTTTCTGAAAACAACATTTCCTAACCAACCCTTAATTGAGTTTGACTACCTCACCAAGTATATGATGAGTACATTCTGAATTATCTATTTTCTATCAGCTAAGATACTTATTGTATATCTCTCGCAGCTGAAACAAAAAAAAAGTTCATGAATTGCCTTTACTTTGTATATATAGTGATTAAGATTCTACATGGAATTTCGACCGACTAAAATCAGTTACGGAAACTGAATTAGAACTAAGAATTTACCAAACTGAACCAAGGCTGAAATTGACTTGAATTCAAATTTGATGCCGTTGGTTGGCATGATAGTAAAGGTAGATGCGATGAATCGGTGATGGATCTTCGAACTGTATCGTGATAATTTCTCCCTTTGTAGATTTCGATGCAGTATTTCGATATCAGTTAATTTTCGGTTCTGGTAACTTTTTTGGCAGGTCTTTTCAGCAACCATGGCCCTCTATATTTTGTCAGTACAAAAACAAGCTTCTCAAAGCTGGGTCTAACTTGTCATATTGCCAAAATTCATAGTGAGGTATGTTTAATTTATCTTCAATTCCACAGTTATGTACTTTTTAATCCATACTGAAAGCTGACAATTACTAATCAGGCTTCAGTTGAGAAAAATGCCAAAGAAATTAAAGATTACGTTGAGGAAATTTATTGGGGTTCCAACAAACGTGTTTTGCTTCTCGGACACAGCAAAGGCGGAGTAGATGCAGCGGCTGCTTTATCTATCTATTGGTCTGACTTGAAAGATAAGGTTGCCGGGTTGGCAGTAGCACAGAGTCCATATGGCGGAAGCCCTATAGCTTCAGATATCTTGCGAGAAGGACAACTCGGTGATTATGTGAATGTACGGAAACTTATGGAGATTTTGATTTGTAAAGTGATTAAGGTATGAATTCGATCTTTGATGCATTTTCTTTCATCTCAAGCATCTACAGATAATCGGCAGTATGCAACTATGTTTGCTGCGACTTCCAAGTTTCCATGGGAGGAACTCGGCTGCTGCTTTGGTATTTTAGTGATGTTGACCTTTTTTTCCACGGAAGAAGGGTTTGTGTTGTAGATGATTCTACTTTATGGTGAAGTGTAGTTATCTTTTAGTAACTTCTATGTTGTTTCAAAACTTTATTTTTCGAGAAGGGTAAAGTACACACTTAATCCTCCAACTATAGGATTATGCTTTATTGAATCCTCCAGCTAGTAAAAGCTAAAAAATGGTCATCTGAGTATGGAGCGTTGTTTTGTTGGGTCTCTTGGCTATTAAAAGTTACAAAATGATCACTCTACTATTCATATGTTCCAAACTCGTCTAAATTTTCGTTACAAAATTGATGATGTGTCAAAACTGCTTTATTTCTATGTTTTAACAAAATTTAAATATACACACTGCTGCCTTATCTTAGGAAACTGCTAAGCTAGGTATTTGATTCTAGGAGTAATTCTAATCCCTTAAAGTTAGGGATTCTAACTAGTATAATATATTTACAAAGATCCTACATAATCTTCCTATATTAGGAAACTAATCTCTGACACTCCCCCTCAAGCTTGGGCATGGATGTCTTCCATCCTCAGCTTTTTTGTCAACTTCTGAAAATACTTACCAGGTAGGCCCTTGGTAAGTATATATGCTACTTGATCTCCAGTGGTCACATAAGGAGTATAGATCAGGCCACTATCAAGTTTTTCCTTTATGAAATGTCTATCCACTTCAACATGATTTGTTATGTCATGTTAAACTGGATTATGAGAATATTAATTGTTGACTTGTTATCACAACTTAGCTTCATTGTTCCATCTCATTTGACCTTCAAATCCTCTAAAATGATCTTCAGCCATAGTGACTTGTAAATTCTAAAGCCATAGCTCGAAACTCAGTTTCTGCACTTGATCTAGCCACAACGTTCCGCTTTTTGCTCTTCCAAGTAACTAAATTTCCTCCAAAGAAAATACAGTTACCAGAGGTTGATCTTTTATCAACTATGGATCCAACATAGTTTGCATTAGTGTAAGCTTCCAAAGTCGAATTTCCCCCTCTTTTAAACATAATTTCTTTGCCTGGTGTCCCTTTCAAATACTGTAAAATTTGAGTCACAACCCTTAGATGTGATTCCTTAGGATTGTGCTTGAATTGACTCACAACTCCAACAACATATGCTATGTCTGGTCTAGTATGTGACAAATAAATAAGCCTTCCCACAAGTCTCTGAAATGAACTCCTATCAACTGTTGAATCATCATCTTTTGAATCTTCAAGCTTATGGTTGACCTATATTGGTGTTTCTGCTGGCTTACACCCTAGTTTTTTAGTCTCCTTTAACTAGTCTAGAGTATACTTTTGTTGAGATATAAAAATTCCCTTATGTGAGTCTGCCACTTCAATTCTAAGAAAATATTTTAATCTTCCAAGTTCTTTAACTTCAAACTCCTTTATCAGACACTTCTTCAAATTGCCAATTTCTTCAAGATCATTTCCTACGACAATTATGTCATCTACATACACCAAGAGTGCAGTTACTCCCCCTGAAGAAGAGTGTTTCACAAATAAAGTATGGTCACCTTGACTATGTTTATATCCTTGTCTCAACATCACTTTAACAAACCTTCCAAACCAAGCTCTAGGAGACCGCTTTAGTCCATATATTGCCTTTTTCAACGTGCAAATTGCCTATCCAGTACTTGGTCTAAATCCATGTGGTGTATCCATGTACACTTCCTCTTCAAGATCTCCATGCAAGAAGGCATTCTTGATGTCAAATTGCTGCAAATTCCACCTTTGAGTAGCTTCTAAGGACAGTAGAACCCTTACTATATACAACTTTGCAACAGGGGCAAAAGTTTCATGGTAATCTATTCCATAGGTTTGAGAATATCCCTTTGCCACCAACCCTTCTTTGTACCTTTCTAAAGAGCCATCTGACTTGTACTTAACTGTAAGCACCCATCTACATCCCACTGTTTTCTTCCCTTTGGGTAGCTTCACTAAGTCCCAGGTTTTATTCTTTTCCAGTGCTTCCATTTCATCTTTCATAGCCTGTTTCCAGTTCTCATTCTTTAATGCCTCGAAAACAGTCTTAGGAATGGTACTGTGTTTAGGCTGGTAAGGAAAGCTCTGTGACTAAAGGATAGGTTTTTGTAAGTTATGTACAAGTAAGAAGGGTGTTTAGTGGTACAGGTTCTTTTTACTTTTCTAATAGTAACGGGAAATTCAAAATCAGAATTAGACATATCATTCTCAGTATTTTGATCAGGAAGAGTTTCAGAGTGTACCTCAGATTGTACAGGAGCAGGAGAAAGGTATTATTGAATTTGCATAAGTGCCTTCTTCCTTGAATAAACCATTAGAGGACGAGTAGTGTCCTGGATGGTTGGCTGAGGTGTATTGGGTTTTGGTTGTGGAGAAGTTGGAGTAGTAGAAGGCTGAGCAGACTATGTTTGTTGTATTTGGTCAGAATGTATAGGTGCAGGGAAATCAATGAGGGGTTGAAGTAGGAAAAGATCAGCATCCTATTCTTAAATGATATCTCCCCCTGAAGATAATGAACGGTAAAATAACTCTATTTTTCAACAAAAGTGACATCAACAGAGATGTAGTATTTTCTTGATAATGAACGGTAAAATAACTCTATTTTTCAACAAAAGTGACATCAGCAGAGATGTAGTATTTTCTTGTAGGTGGGTGAAAGCGTTTGTAACCTTTTTTAGTAGAAGAGTAGCCAATAAACATGCATTTTAGTGCCATTGTATCAAGTTTACCCTTCCCTGAGAGTGTATATGGTAACACATCCAAATATTCTAGGTTTTAGGTTAAGAGATGGGATAAAATTTGGATAGAATTTTGTGAGGACTTGAAGAGGACTTTGGGATTCAAGGACTTTAGTGGGTAGTCTGTTTATCATGTAGGTGGCAGTTAACATAACCTCTCCCCAGTAATGTTTAGGGGCTTTATTTTGAAATAGGAGAGCTCTTGTAGTGGCAAGGATATGAACATTCTTCCTCTCAGGTACACCATTCTGTTGTGGGGTGTTAACACAAGATGATTCATGGATGATACCCTTCTGTAGAAAGTAAGAAGATAGGACTTGGTTAAAGTAGTCATTGGCATTGTCAGATCTGAATCTCTTTATTTCAGTCCCAAATTGGGTTTTAATTATGGTGTAGAAGGTTTTAAAAGTATGGGTAACATCTGAATTTTGTTTTAGAAGAAAGATCCAAGTAACCCGAGTACAATCATCTATGAATGACACAAACCATCTAGCCCCAGTTATGTTAGGAATAGTGGAAGGCCCCCAAACATCACTATGGATAAGAGTAAATGAATTGATAGTCCTTTTATTGCTTACTGGGAAAGAGAAACGTTTGTGTTTTGCAAGTTCACACACTTCACCATGAAATTCTTCAGTACTTGAGGAATTAAACAAAGAGGGAAACATAGTCTTTAAAACTTTAAAAGGTGGGTGACTAAGGCGAAAATGATTTAGCCAGATTTGGTCTTTATTGGTTGTAGATTCTGATAAGAGAGACAGAGGTTGGGTATCCAAGACTCTAACTGGTCCACTGGGTTCTTCAAGGTAGTATAGACCGTTTACTTCCCTAGCACACCCAATCATCCTCTTCGTTTCTTGCTCCTGAAAAATACAGTTTAGGATAAAACAAAACATTGCAGTTAGTATCTTTGATAAGTTTCTGGATGAATATAAGATTGGTAAACAGTTTTGGTACATGAAGGACATTTCTATGTTTTCAATCATTTGGTTTGTAGAAGAAATACAAAATTTAAATATACACATTTCTACCTTATCTTAGGAAACTGCTAAGCTAGGTAAGTATTTAATTCTAGGAGTAATTCTAATCCCTTAAAGTCAGGGATCTTAACTAGTAGAATATATTTACAAAGATCCTACATAATCTTCCTAAATTAGGAAGCTAATCTCTGACATGATCATATGAGCTATTCATTAACATGTTGGTTAGGATATGATAGTCGTTTCAGATTTTATCATATCCTAGTTATCAAGTTAACATTCATCTCATACTGTTGTGAATTTTTTAACGGAAAAAGCCGAGTTTAGAACATATAAATAGTTAGGTGACTATTTTGTAACTTTTAATAGTTGGAGGACTCAATAAAGCAATCACCCTATAGTGGGGTGTACCTTACCCTTTCGAGAATTGCTCATGTTTGACGTCCGTATCTTCTAAGGGTATTAGAATATGATCCTCCAACTCAAGGATAAAGAAAGAAGAATTTAATGTATCTGTGTCGGACACGTACTCATATCCGATGCTCAAACCCGTGTCCTAGTAACATTGTAATTTGTGTCTTCACGTTTTATTTTTCTAATCATCTGTGCATGAATAATTCTGACCTTAAAGGGGGACATGCAAGCTTTGGAGGACTTAACATACGCTAGGAGGAAGGAATTTTTGAAGAAACACCGTTTACCGAAGGAGCTTCCTGTTGTTTCATTCCATACCGAGGCCGGCATTACTCCTGCCGTTCTGGCCACGTTATCTCACATCGCTCATGCAGAGCTACCATTGATGTCCACCCTATCTGATGGCCAGCCCGCAAGGTTGCCTGTGGTCATGCCCCTCGGTGCTGTGATGGCTGCATGCGCCCAGTTGCTGCAGGTCAGATATGGTGAAAAGAGCGACGGCCTCGTGGCGCGTTGTGATGCAGAAGCCCCAGGATCCTTTGTGGTCCGGCCAAATCGTAAATTAGATCATGCCTGGATGGTCTATTCATCGTTGAACAACGACTCTTCGGAACCAGATGCAGCGCAAGTGTGCGAGGCTCTGTTAACGTTGCTCGTGGAAGTTGGGCAGAGAAAAAGACGTGAACTCTCGAGGAAATACGAATGAGGTAAATGCGGCTCGTGTCGACTCAACCAAGTAGCTGAGGTTCTTTAAGCATCAGTAGCTCCATTTAAGCCTGGTAATTTTTTTATTTGTACATACCTGAATCGTTAGATTTGTAAAATGGAAAAGGTATTACCATGATCAAAGGGTATGCGACATTGTTGTATATAACTGATCTTTTAAGTTATCTCGACTCGAATTTAAGTGTTGGATATCGGCATATATCTTATACGGATAATTTTAGGTAAAATTACTGTGTAGATTATTGTGTTATAATGCTAATTGCATTTTGGCTATTTCAAGTTTTTCTCCTCTATCGTTGGTGCTCGAAAGTGTTGGTTTAATCCGTTTATGTATGTAGTTGCTTCACTTGTTCATACTTTTGCTTATCAGGTTATTATTAGGCAATCATTGTTATATTTTACTTATGATGGTCTTGACAGTATTTATTCGGTCTGTAATTGACAAGACGTTGTTGATACAACTTTCGATAAATGAATATATTCTAGTACTACTTTTAAAAAGACATTTACTTACAAACAGAAGGGATCTTCATCATAGACCAGTAAGATTCGAAGTCGCATTAAAAGTTCAAGAAAATATTAAGTTAGATCATCGATAAAAAAAAATATTTAAACTATATGGATATTTGAAGTTTTCAGGGGTATGAACGCACCCCTTCAACATCCTTCTCGGTCCATCCCGATTTTGACCATTTTTTTAACATACTAGCAAGATAAATTATAATAATGGGTATGTTCCAATTTTACTTGGATAACCAGAGACTTGAAAGTTCAACAGACAGCCAAATTGCATACGATTCTAAAGCATTTTGAAGCAACCTGTTAGGGTTAGGGATGGGTATAGGACCCGACCCCGACCCGATCAGGTTGGATTTTTTTAAAAAAAAATCAGTTTCGGATCGAGTCATATCATATTTTTTTAAATGTGATTTTTGGGTCGGGTCGGGTTCGGGTTTAGGGTAAAAAAAAAAACCAGACCCGACCCGAAATAAATATATAATTTTACATTATATATTTAGGAATAATTATAATAATATCCATCTATATATTATTTTTTTCAATTAAGTCGCTATTTTTATTGAATAAAAATATTTTTTTATTATTTCGGGTCGGGTCGGGTGAAATCTTATTTTGGTCGGGTCGGGTCAGGTCTCGGGTGGATAACTCCTTATTCTCGGGTCGAGTCGGGAGGACCAAAAATCCGACCATCTCCATCCCTAGTTAGGGTTATCATTATGTTCATCTTGGATTACATTTGTTTCTTAACAATTTGGTTATTGACACAGAGTTGATACTGTAGAGCTAATTGTTTGATTACTACGATAAACGTGGAGAGTTTAAACAGGCAAAACGAAAGGCAATCTAGTCAAATACAGGAACTAAAAGGGTTATGAGAAAATAGAACCCGGAAAGCTCTTCAAACGAGAAATTGGCAGACGAGGATTCGTTTATCCCCTGCCCTCGGACGAACCAAGTCCACTTCTTATAGTCGCACCCACATCCATCATATCTTCCACCTGTTGAAGAAATGAAATCACAGAAACAAAATTTAATTACATTTAGTGAAAGGCTGAGGGTGAAGATTTTAAAGGCGAGAAAATGAGTACATTTAGTGAAAGGAGGCGACGCCGAAGGCTTTGACGGGCATCAAACGGTGGTCGCCGGTATAAACTTTTCGATACGAAGATACTGCCCATCCGAGCTAGGTTACGCTCGCTACGGCCCGGTACCAGTGGGTGGCGACGCGGGTTTTTTGGGTGTCGCCGCCGCTCTCCTCCGCCTCCATTAGTTGACTTCCTCTAGATCAGCTTTTGAGCTGCTTTTCTCTCTGGTTGCTTAATCGGGAATTTGTTAATTCGAGATTGATTCGGTCAAAATTCGATAAATACGTGATCCGAGCTTGAGTTAAGTTCTTAATAAATCGAAACGAAATACCTATACTCGACTTGAAGAATTCGTGAGTAACTCAAAAATATAATATATTAAAATTATACTTTTAAAAATTAAATTATTAATAATATTAAAATTTTTGTTTTATTAAAATATAATATATGATTTTTCACGTATTTAATGTTTAGGTTCGAGTTTGAGCTTTTAGTTCCATTCGAGTTAAGTTTAAGTTTTTTTTAGCTTTAATTCATTTTTTCTAGTTCAAGTCGAACTTAAAACTTTTAAATTCATGAATTTTTAAATCGAGTCGAACTCAGCAATACTCGAACTCGAATTGACTCGTTTACTGCCCTTGATAGGAGATTTAAAGAAATAAAATAGAAACCATCTTTATACAAAAATGTTATTGTTTTTATTTTCTTAAGTATTGTTATTACGGCTAGGTAAATATTGTGAAAATAAAATAAATTTATGTATGAACAATTAGTTTGTCTAGTGTGATCAAGTATTAGATTTCTCAAATAAGATTAAGAGTTCGAATCTTAACGTTTGTAAATAAAGATAAACGTTTGATCGAATCAAGTCAAAAAAATTCAAATTATTCGAGCCGACTAATATTTCAATAAGTTAAACAAATATTAACAATATTTCAGTGAGTTAAACATCCACTAGTGGGTGAAGTGGGTAGATTTTAACAATAATTCTTTATTTAACTTAAGATTTTGTTAAATCCTAAGTTGGTTTAGTTACATTATTGACATGCCACTTTTATATTCATTACAATTTGATCCTCACATGTTTTGAATATGCCATGAAGGCTCTAAAAGTTTCAGTTTAATTTCATTTCTGCTGCAACTTACAAACGTAACGTCCCCTGTCCTTCATGGACTCTCGAATCGGTCCGACCGAATTAACCATACAATGTGAACTGAAAAATACGAAAACCACATGTAAATATAAAGATATGAATATTAAACAGCTCATACAGATTCAACATTCAACTTGAATAACATTTGGTGTACAAGCATTTTACTTTAAGAAAGAAGCCCAATCACACGCCCTAGGAACTAAAAAGAAGCCGCCGTTTGTGGAGAATGGTGATGACAAGGGAATTTGATTAAAAGTAAACTCTCCATCCCACAACTTATAATGCATTCTAACATGTGCAAATCAATACAGTCGATATTGTCGGCCACTATCGTTGCCACTGTGTTTTCCCCTGCTGTTAGAACTGCCACCACTCCTATTACTGCCACTTCGACTCTGTCTCTGATGAACAGGCGGGCTTTGAGGTTGTTGCGCTCCTGGTTGTTGCCTGCATCCACATAGATGATCAAAGTTCAGTCCTTGGGTGCATATTATTGATATGGCCTATGGCGGGGAGACAATTAGTAAATTAGTACTGGAATGATTTTTTTAAGATAATTACTAAAAATTATATAAAAAGAATTAGTGAGTTGTTCGCGAACTTATCGAGTCGAATTGGATTTTGCTCCACTTAACTCGTTAAGATATCGAGTCGAGTCAACTCGAGTTACGTTTTTATCGAGCTTTGATCAAGTCGAGTTCGAGGTGCTCAGGAGCTGCTCAACTCATTAAGCACTCCTAGCAGGGATGGACCTAGGCGGGGCGAGTAAGGGGTCGTCCCCTAAAAAATTTAAAATTATCAAATATTTTAGATTTTTTTTCTATGTATTTTCTATTAAAAATATGTTTTCGCCCCTTAAAATTTTACAGGTTCAAGGCTCCTTTATATAATCTTCCACCTCCTCAATAGACTGTGGAGATTAATTTGATCCTACGCTCTATATTTTAGATCCATAACTTTTTATACAAATCTAGTATAATCTAGACCTGAAGAATTCTCCATAAACCTATAGAATCTTCCCCAGGACTCCCAAGTTTGATCATGGAATAGAAATCTCCACTTGCAAACCAACACGGAAAACTAACAAGTAGGAGTGCATCATTTCGCTCAAGTTAATATGACATACAAGGAGATAGAACATGTTCTTGAAGAGCATCCATGGTCTTCTGTATAGACTTAGATATTTGCTCCTAGACGTATATATTTATACCTTAATCTCTATTCTTTTTCCTCACTTCTGGGTCTGGCTTGTATCTGTGCTTGTGTACTTGCTGTGGTGCAAAATATACATCATTAACAAAGGGTTTTGCAAAGTGCTGCTTCATACAATGAAAGCCTAGCCCAGACTGTACTGAATGAGCCTGTTTCTTGTATTAATTGGATCAAACCAGGGAATTGTTCCAACCCTAGAACCCTTTCCCCATGGCCCAGTTGTATTAGTTGGATCATATCCTCGTACTCACGTCTAAACATGTATAAGCATGCATTGGATATTGTATTAGTTGTAATAGTTGCAACTTACAATATATTGACCGCGAAGAAAGACACCCATCTCACTTGAAGAATGGATATCGGTCCAAAAATCAATATTTGGGACAACCGAATCTAGACAATGTTATGGGTCCTAGCTACCATCACCAGGTTCCTGGTAGGAGAAACTCTCTAACCAGTGTTTTGGAGCATCGGGATGAATACGAGAAAGACGAGCAACGAAACTCTTTTCACCGGTTGCGACTATGCTGGCAATGGAGTAGTTTCGAGTGCACAAACCGTTCTCCGTGAGCCATTTATGGAATCTGTACCTAGGCTTAATCCGCTTCTCCAAGTTGAAACATAGAAATGCCGGGAATATATCAAGGTAGTCCAAAGGAACACCCATTTCGTAGCGAAGGAAGTTCAGCTTCCGCGCTATAGTTTCGGGACTCTGGTTTAGAACTTTCGGTGTTGTTTGTACCATCTTGCAAAGTTTCGAGAACGTGATCCCCATACCGAGAAGACTGTCGAATCTTTCTTGCAACTCCGCACTAGTGCCATGAACATGAGCTAAAACCTTCATGGTCAAAGAATTCTCCCCAAACCCAATCCTATGCAAAAAAATCAACTTCTCCGTTGTGTGGATAGGGGTTCTTGAAAACTGAATTCTCTCGAAACTATCTCGGAAATCCATATCAAAGTCTTCGTCAAGATCGCTAACGGCGCAATTAGCAAGCAACAGATGATTTCCGTCCTTAATCTTATTAAACAACCACTCGTGTAGATTCAAAGCTTTCATCACATTGGGTAAATTAGCCATTTTATTCCTCCCCAATACATAAGGGTATTCTTTAGCAATGAAATTCCTTTCATCAGCATTCAATCCAAAATGTTTCAATATTCCCATAACCGAAATCACCGGTGTTTCCAAATCAAAATCCAAAATCTCGGGGCTTCGAAGAATCAACAAACCGACATCTTCCTTCCTAACCAAAAACCGACAAAAATACTCGATTTTCCGAACCATAACCTCCTCCGAATGCCGAAGAAAGAGGCTCTTATTTCTACCCATCAGCTCCCCGATTTTCCCCTTCTCACAACCCAAATCATAAAACATCCTCATTTTCCTACAAATTTCATACCAAGAATCCACATTAGCTTCAACATGATTCCCCAAATCAAAATCTACAAAAACCCTTTTCAAATCATTCAACAAAGCAGCAACTTCACATTCCAATTCACCAACCCCACGCAATACGCAAGGAAAAGCCAAGCAAATACCAATCACAGAAATATTATTGCTAAACCCAAATTCCTTAATCCTACAAAGCCTAGCTTTCAATTCCTTAGAACTCACCCTAAAAATCAAAGCATCCTCTTTATAAAGCTTACCCAATCTGTTCCAAGGGAGCCCAAATCCAGAAAGCGCACAAGCAGCATCGAGAACCGTTTCATCTTCAGAGAAGAAGAATTTATTCGAAGGCAAAAGCCCACTAACTTCATCATAATCAATTCCTATGCTTTCAAAGAAAAACTCGTACTCGTTAATGGGATGGTACCTGAGCAACCTGAGGACGTTCTTGTTGAAACTCACGGCGGAGAAATCGATGCCGGAGACTAGAGAAGATAGGGAATAGAGGGAGTTTTTGGCAATGTGCTCGGCGTAGACGAAAGGGATGTAACGGGTGCAGTGGAGGTAATCCGTGAGAGCTTGTTGAGCATCTTTAATGGCTCGGGATCGATACTTGGAAGGGATTTTGGTGAAGTATGGGAGTTTGGGTAGTGATGAAAAATGGCGAAGAAGATGGTGAGACTGAATAAATTTGAGGAAATGATTCATCTGACGGCAGAAATGGGTTTAGTTAGGGTTTTTGTGAGAGGGGGAAAAGGGGATTTTGTGCGTTGTTTCTTCATACATTGGAGTCTGTCTTACGGTGTTTTTTGCGGACATGCCCATAACTTACGTGTAGCAAAAAATGAGCATTTCATTTCTGGGTAAAGTACACAAATAGTCTCCTTTATTATAGGTTATTATTTTATTGAGTCTCCTAACTATCAAAAGTTATAAAATAACTCATTAATTATAGGTTGTTGTTTTGTTGAGTCATTTGACAATTAAAAGTTATGAAATCATCACCTAACTATTTATTATATTTCAAATTTGTCATTTCCATTAAAAAATTGATGACAATTTAAGTTGGATGTTAATTTGTTGTTAAGATATGATAAAATCGATCCTAAAATCTCAAATGACTATCATATCTCAGACAGCATATTAACATCCAATTCAGATTTTCATTATTTTTTAAAGAAAAATAACAAGTTTGGAACATAATGAATAGTCGGGTGACCATTTTATAACTTTTAGTAGTCAAGAGACTCAACAAAGTAATATCTTATAGTTAGATGATGTTAGCTCTAATGGATAACCGAAAAATGTCAAGACGGGGTGAATTGACCTTTTAAATTTTGGTGGAAGTAATCGAAAAATAAAAAATTTTGCACAACGATTTAAAGTGGTTTGACTTCTAAATCAAGTTTACATCTACTACCTTAGCTATCCACACTAAGAATTTCTCAAATCTACTAGATTTGTAAACTTTTAAGGATAAGGTGTAACCTTACAAAGACACACGAGGTTTATACTCCAAAATCTTGCTTACACACTCTCCCAAAGAGAAATTACAAATTTAGCAAACTAAAGAAAAACCTCACAAAGACAAATATGATTGCACAAATTAAGCACTCACCAAGAATCACACTTGAGTAAAATTAACAAGGAATCTCACAAGTGTATTACAAAAGATTTGACAATTTTAGCACTAAAAACTCTTTTGAAGTTGAAATGATATTGCAATTGATTTTCTTGTTATTCTTCATTTGAATCTTGGTTCCTTTTATGTCTTCTAAAATCAATCTAGCCGTTTAGACCCGTTGGGGATTGAATATAGCCATTGGATTCATTAATTTTGAGATTTAATGCTCACCTGCACATTTGGTATCGAGACCAACAAGTTGGTATTGAGACCGAGCCTTTCAACGGTTAAATTTATAGTCGTTAACCTCCAGTATCAATACTGCTTGAATCAATATTTATACCAGCCCACCGATCTCGAGACTGAGACCTTGATATCAAAACCAAAATGCATTTTGAAACTTTGGTATCGAGACTGGATGTTGTTTTGACAAAAATTAAGTGTTTTGAGCTTTAAAAATGATATTTATAAAACGTGAATTAACTTAAAAACACCTGGGATTATTTTTTACACTTAAACATACTTTAAAATTGTTTATGACAAATTTTTACAAATATTGTAAAATGTAAATTTTAACAATTTAAAATAATCATGTTATATCAAAATCAAAACTTAGTTTAACAATCTCCCCTTCTTTATATAATAAATCTTTTTGTAAATATTTTCTTTAAAAAGGATTTGTCATATTTTGTGAAAAATAAGTCTCCCCTTAGAAAAATAATTTTGGGCTAGTAAATTTATATGTATACATATTTCTCCCACTTTTTGTTATAGCAAAAATCAAATTAAGCTTCAAAGGAAAAAACATGTTAGTGTAATAGGGAACTCAAGTATTCAACATAAAATAATCAAATGTCAAATTATGTTTATTATAAAATAATCAAATTCATAAACATAATATCAACATCAATAATTCAGACACAAATCCATAAAGTACCAACAAACCAAATATTAAACATAAAATAACATATAGTTTCAAAATAAGTTATAAAGTGCATAAGTCTAAATCAAAATGCAAATGTCATAAAATGATAAATAAATGTACAATCTTGGTGGCGAATGAGAGGGAGGCAACAAGTGATGACATATCAATTGAATGTCATTCTCAAGCACGTCCAAGTGATAATCTGTAGTAGACGCAAATGAGTCCAAGCGATGATCCATGAAGCCATATGATCGCGTAAGTCCCCGAAGTTTTGAACCATATAATCATATATTGTCTTCATCAATATCTCCTCTAGATGCGGTGGCACCGGTGACACTTCTATTTCGTCATCTTCCTCCTCGATGTTGTCTAAGTTTCTTCGATAAGGATCACACTCTCTGAAAAATATCAAAATCCCAATTGGCCTTGTGGACCGATTTAAAATCGATGACACTAACGAGTGGAATAGGAAGATTAAGGGCGGTAGACACTCTAAGTTTATCCCTAAAGATGTAGTTAAGAATGCAAGTATATGGAAGTGTCTTGGAGTAATTTAACCCTTTATGGACAACATCAACAATTGTTAGCTCTATTGAATAATCGAAAAATACCAAAAGGGAGTGAATTGGCCTTTTAAAATTTTGGTGGAAGCAATCGAAAAATAAAAACTTTACGCAACGATTTAGAGTGGCTCGACTTCTAAACCAAGTCTACATCCATTACCTTATCTATCCACACTAAGGATTTCTGAAATCCACTAGATTTGCAAACCTTTAAGGATAAGGTATAACCTTACAAAGACACACAAGGTTTATACCCCAAAATCTTGTTTACACACTGTCCCAAAGAGAAATTACAAATTTAGAAAATAAAAGAAAAAAACTCACAAAGGTAAATGTGTTTGCACAAATTAAGCACTCACCAATAATCACACTTGTTTTAAAATTGCTCATTACTACATGAACAATGCATACAAAAATAATTATATAAGTAACAAAAATTAATAAAAATCCAATACAATAATAATTAATATATCCAAACAAATTTAATAAAGATTTAAAATACTATTGATATAATTTTCTCTTATATAATCTTGATTCACATTACATTCACGGGTTATTTGTTTTCTAGATCTGAATATTTGAATCAAAAGAGCTCCAAAAGCTAATGCTGAAGCAACTACTCCCACTATTACATTATCAATAGAATTAAGATCCATCTACAAAGAAATATAGATTATGATAAACCAAAAATAAGTTATAGCTTATGCCACAACATGTACTTAAATTCTTGTCTATAATTTAAAATTTATAATAAATAATATGTCATCAAAATGAAATAATACAACGAAGCAAATATACCACATGAAGCAAGACACTAAAATCAGAAAAGCAAATGCAATCAATGTAACCAAAGCAGCTTATAACTCAAACAATTTTTTTCAATTCAAGACAAAGAAGTCGATCAAGAAAATGATAAGTAAGTGACTTTTTAGTCTTTGCTAACACTTGCCAAAGTTCTGAAGTTTTTGATGTCTTTCTCAATTCAAGGCTCCCTTCAGCTTCTAACTCAAAATATTCTATTGAACTTTTAAGTGCAACCTTTCATCCTTGTGAAGTATTCTGGATAAAATTTATTTGCAAGCTTGCTTATATCATCAATGCAACCTGATTTATAGCCATCTCTTGTATCTAGAGCGGAACTAATCTTAAGTAATTTCACCATGTCATTCTTGAATCTAATGTTCATCTATTGTATTTGAGAATCAATAGTAGAGACAAATATATCAACACGATAATGATGTTCGACTGAGATGACATCTCGTTAAAGTCGATGCCTCCCTCTACCACTTTTATACGGAGCATTCATATCGAGAAATTCTATGTGATGTTTATCACAAAATGATATTTGCCTTTTCAAGTAAAGGATCCCACCCTTATTCTCTAGATCCTCGTATAATTTTTTTTGTACTTGATACTAAATATAAAGCATTTAGTATATCTTGAGATTTACACTATAAAGTTTTACTAAGATCATCGGTGATTCTCAAGAGATCTATCATGAAGTGTAAGATGAATACAAATTCAAAAGATGTCATCACATCATAAACACTATTTACTTCGTTTGTTTGAGTCAAATTTCCATCACTTATGATATTCTTGAGAACAAAATAAGTAGCATCAAACATCTTGAGCAAGCTATAAAGAGAATTTAAGTGTGAATCTCACCTTGTATCTCCTGCACACTATAAAGTACCAATTTAATTTTTTCCCTTTCCTGTTTCTAATCATTCAAGAGCAGTAATATCTTCAATATAACATGTTTAGACATCTTTTAGTTGATATTTTCTCTTGTACAAAGAGACAACTAAATGACAATAATCAAATATGAAAAAAATTGTGATCTTTTATGTTAGCCAAAGAAGTGATTCCACCACCATTTTTCTCATATTTAACTATCATCATAAATTTAGTTGTATCTTCGTTCAAAAGACAATATCAATTGAAGATGCCGGCGCAAGTTATATTGAAGATATAACTACTCTTGAAGTGTTGGAAACAAGAAAAAGAAAAAATCAAATAGAACTTTACGTGTAAGAGATACAAGGTGGGGTTCACATTTAAATTCTCTTTATAGCTTGCTCAAGATGTTAGATGCTACTTGTTCTACTCTAAAAATTATCATGAGTGATGAAAATTTGACTCAGAGAAGTGAAGCAGATAATGTTTATTATTTGATGACATCTTTTGATTTCGTATTCATCTTGCACTTCATGATAGATTCTCTCAAGTATCACTGATGACATCATTTACTTGAAAAAATAATATCATTTTGTGATAAACATCATATAAAAATTCTCGATATGAATGGTCCGTATAAAAGTGGTAGAATGAAGCGTCGACTTCAATGAGATGTCATCTCAGTTGAACATCATTACCTTGTTGATATATTTGTTTCTACTATTGATTATTAAATACAAAAGATGAACATTAGATTCAAGGATAACATAGTGAAGTTACTTAAGCTTAATTTTGCTCTAGATCCAAGAGATGAATATAAATCATTTTGTATTGATAATATATGTAAACTTGTAAATAAATTTTATCCAAAAAATTTCACAGAGAACAAAAGGTTGCACTTAAAACTTCTATTAGAACATTTTAAGTTAGAAGTTAAAAGGAACCTTGAATTGAGGAAGACGTCAACAATTTCAGAACTGTCAAGTGTTAGCAAAGACTAAAAAGTCACTTATTTATTATCTTCTTGATCAACTTGTTCATCTTGTTTTGATTTTTCTTGTTTCTACTTCGATCACAGAGCGACTTTTTTCTGCCATGAAATTAGTGAAGACTCATTTAGTCAACAAAATGGAGGATGATTTTTTGTCGAGCTACTTAATAACATATATTGAGAAGGAAATTTGTCCGTGATTTATATAGAAATTCTCTTATTGATGACTTTGATTCAATGAAAGAGCGTCATGTACAATTCCGAATGTCAAGTTTTAATAATTAAAAAGATATTCTAAGTAGTAGGTTCTTTATTATTACTTTTTGTGTAAGTTAATTTTAGTTTATTCTCAGTTTTTCAAGAGTTAACGTTTTTTATACATAGTTCGCAAGTTTTATTCATTTATAAAATGTAAAAGTCTAGCATATTACTTTAAATTTTAAATCATAATCATTTTGTGAAAATGAAAATTTTGATGACGTGCATATTTATTTTTTGCGCTATTATGATTGTTATTTTACATCGACTTATGTCACTATATGTTTATTAAAAATAAAGTTTGTCTCTTTACCTTAAAATCTTACGTTTGTCTCTCTTAACAAACAGTGAATAAAAGAGTCTATCGGTCCTTCTTAGTTTAGATTCATTGTAATCTTTCATCTTCTCCATTATCAATTGAGAGATTTATCATATTTTATTCAATATCAGTCATGCAATATTCGACAAAAATTGTAATTAAAAAAATACATACTAAAATACTAAAAGAGAAAAAGAGAATACATACCACAAAAGCAATGACTTAAAATTATATGTAATAACTTTAGAAATATATTTACATAAATATCTAATTCAATTTAACCATCAATATGAAAATTTATCATGTTAGTTGTATCCATAATTTTGAAGCAACAAACTACCATGATTCTTTCCCCATGACATCTTAACAATGTTGTAAAACTTATTGCATACAATATTTTCTCATTTACTCTCGTTTTCATTGTGTGCAAAATAAAGGTGCAGATTTAGCCAAATAGTGTTTTAGAGGAACGCCTTTGAGCTTCAGGGTTTGGTTTCTCTTTCTCTCTCTCATATATGCTTGTTTGAATTGTCTCCTACGTTAATTTCAACTCTCCCCCCCCCTGTTTCTTTCCTTTCATTGAAGCTTCTTCAATGCAATCAGATAAAAAAAATTAAAAAAATGTAAGTTTTAATTGATTTAATCTCGAAAGGTACGAGATTTAAGGGTTTACCCTTCATACCCAGAAACACTGTGCTTTCTCAGGTTTGAGAATTCGATTGTTGCATTTATCATTTTAGGTTCTATTGGGTTATGTGAAATCGGGCAATTTTATATTGTGAAGTATCAAATTTAAGATATCTTGGTTTTGAGTTGTGGCACATATATACAATTCCATTGCTAGTTTTAGTTAGGGTTTTTGAGGCTGGAGACCATTGCCTTTTTTGGTCTCTTTATGCTTCTTTAGTTGTTTTATGAATTGGGTATTTGAGTTTGAAGGGCGTATGTACTTTAGTTCCATGTGCACTTACCGGTTATAAGGTTTTGTTGCTTTGAGGTTCGAAGGATTTCGGTATTTGGAGTCCTTATTAGATTGATCAAGACATGACCCGTCGACTACGTCGCAAGGTGGCGAAGAAAGGGAAGGACGATGCTGTTTCGATAAGTTTTCTTGAGATTGAAGTTGAGGAATTAGGTCTCGAGAGAAATGACGCTGTTGATTGGACAAACATGCCTGATGATACAGTGATTCAATTGTTTTCGTGTCTGAATTATCGTGATAGGGCAAGCTTGTCATCAACCTGTAAGACATGGAGGGCTTTGGGAGGTTCGCAGTGTTTATGGAGTTCATTGGATCTCCGTGCTCATAAATTTGATACTGCAACGGCTACTGTACTTGCTTCTAGGTGTGTGAAACTTCAAAAGCTTAGGTTTCGTGGGGCAGAGTCTGCTGGTGCAATAATTAATCTTCAAGCTAAGAATTTGCATGAAATAAGCGGTGATTACTGCAGGAAAATAACCGATGCTACTCTATCTGTAATTGTTGCTCGACATGAGGCTTTGGAAAGTCTTCAGCTTGGGCCTGACTTTTGTGAAAGGATCACTGGAGATGCTATAAAAGCAACAGCACTTTGCTGTCCCAGATTGAAGAAACTTCGGTTGTCTGGAATAAAGGATGTTTATGCTGATGCAATCAATGCTTTGGCTAAGCACTGTCCAAATCTAGTTGATATTGGGTTCCTTGATTGTCTAAATGTTGATGAGGCTGCATTGGGAAATGTTTTATCTGTTCGTTTTCTCACTGTTGCAGGGACGTTAAATATGAAATGGGATTTGGTTTCGCATTTGTGGCACAAGCTACCTAAATTGATTGGGTTGGATGTTTCTAGAACTGATATCAGTTCAGATGTTGTATCTAGATTGTTATCCTCATCCCAGAGCTTGAAGATTTTGTGTGCTTTAAATTGTACGGTTCTTGAACAGGACCCTAGCATTAGCACCACCAAAACCAATGGCAAAGTGTTGCTTTCCCTTTTTTCAGATATTTTAAAGGAACTATCTTCTTTATTTTCCGAAACTTCAATCAAAGGGAGGAATTTGTTTTTGGATTGGAGGTGCTCGAAGAACAGAGATAAAAACTTGAATGAGATCATGACCTGGCTTGAGTGGATCTTATCTCACTCACTTTTGCGTATTGCTGAGAGCAACCCACAAGGACTAGATGATTTCTGGCTTAAGCAAGGGGCAACATTGTTGCTCAGCTTAATGCAAAGCTCACAAGAGGATGTTCAAGAAAGGGCGGCCACAGGACTAGCAACGTTTGTTGTTATTGATGATGAAAATGCAAGTATAGATCGTGGAAGAGCTGAGGCAGTCATGCAAGATGGTGGCATCCGACTTCTTCTGAACCTAGCCAAATCTTGGCGTGAAGGACTTCAATCAGAGGCTGCAAAGGTTATTATCCTATTTTAAAAAATAATAGTTATCTCATCACAATGCAACTATCATCATATTTCTTCCTTTTACCTGAATTGTTTATTCTAGTGACCATAAGATGGTTTGATGCTTTCCATTTAGGTGAAGAATTTGCTATTCACAAGACTTTTGTTTGCATTATCGTTTTCCATGTATTATGTTAAATAAGATGTTACTACCTACTAGTTTATTATATGAGATTTGACCTGATTTGGACTTTTTAATGGTATAGGCTCTAGCGAACTTGTCTGTCAATGCCAATGTTGCTACAGCTGTAGCTGAAGAAGGAGGAATTAATATCCTCGCTGGGTTGGCGAGGTCCATGAACAAGCTGGTTGCTGAGGAGGCAGCTGGAGGGCTATGGAACCTTTCTGTAGGGGAAGAGCACAAGGTTTTGTACTTTTCAGTGTTTTTTCTCATACCTGGGTACATAAGCTTTCTGTTTATTTCTAATCGCATATTCTTTTAAAACATATTAGGCTGCAATTGCTGAGGCTGGTGGTGTCAAAGCTTTGGTTGACCTTATATTCAAATGGTCCTCTGGCGGTGATGGAGTTGTTGTATGCTTCTCTTCATGTGCTCTATTTACTTGTTGACTGTTTTAAATATCATGTAACATCTAGCTTTCACACGATTGAAGTAGCTGTCAAGCTAGAATTCATTTGTTAGATCATGATTTCCTTTGTGCCCTTTTAGGAACGTGCTGCTGGCGCCTTGGCAAATTTGGCAGCTGATGATAAATGTAGTATAGAAGTTGCAGTTGCAGGTGGTGTGCATGCACTGGTGATGCTTGCCCGTAATTGCAAGTTTGAAGGAGTGCAAGAACAGGTGCCATTACTTTCACAATTAAGTGGGAACCTTCAACTGTGCATGATATAATAACTACAGTTCCTTCGAATTGTTTTAACTTGAAATGGTTAGCATAGATTTTTTCAATTTTCTAATCATTTTATTATACCCAGTCACAACTAAGCAAACTGATAATGTAGTCTAAGATGTTTTTTCACATTGTTCTAAATTTTTTCCATTTTTTGAGTACCCTTATCAACGTCCTGCATTCTTTTAATGTCAAGTTTGCTGTCATGTGCAAATGCTTAAGTATGCTATGCATTCTTGGGGCATGGAATTAAGAGATCTTGTCAATACAATATTGATGGCTTCAAATGTTAACTTGCTTGTCTTTAGATTGTGTTGGAGTCCCCCCTGCCCCCAATGATTACTCATGTCACCATATACAACATGTTTGTTGCGAGTTTTAATGACATGTCCGAATATGCTAGGCCGCTCGTGCCTTGGCAAATTTGGCTTCTCATGGTGATAGCAACAGTAACAATGCTGCTGTAGGACATGAGGCTGGTGCTCTTGAAGCACTAGTTCAACTTACACGTTCTCCTCATGAAGGTGTCAGGTAAATAGTATCATGTGTTTTAAGCTAGCTCTTGGAACAACCTATTATATGCTTTTTCATGTAAATAAGTTCATTGTTCATTTGCTGATCCCACAGTACTTGTTTTAACTCTCTTCATTTTCCTGTTTGTCCCATAATAATATATCCAGTAACTCATAGACTATAACTTCTTTTTCTCTATGCACAAAATTATATTGGGTTTGTCTAACGTTTATGATGATTTCTACTGATTGAAACAGGCAAGAAGCTTCAGGTGCATTGTGGAATTTGTCATTTGATGACAGAAATCGAGAAGCAATTGCGGCTGCTGGTGGTGTTGAGGCATTGGTATGACATTTATCTTTTTCAGCCGCTATTGTTGTCCCTCTCTTAGCAGGGGTACCCTTGGTTACTGTTATGTGCAGCAAAAGGGGATAACTATTGATGTCTACTAAAAGACCTCCCAAATATCCATAACTTTTATTGTGCGTGTTAAATAATTTTTGCTTGGACATATTGATATCTGTAGACTTTTAAATCATTTAGTGTGTTTTTAGCATTAAAATGCAGATCTACCATAATATGTTTAGATGTAGATAGGATGTGTCTTGGTAATCTAAGGCTTCCTTGTATCCCATGGATTCCCGTAGATACTAGCTTTGGTGTTTCATTTGCTTTTTCCCTTCCCGTGTGGTGCCGTGATGCAAAATCCCGAATCCTGAAATATTAGCCACTATAATGAAGTGCTTTGGAAATTGAGTAACGTTTAAGATTAGTTGAATTGTGCTATTTGGCTTCACAATAATTCTTTGGAAGAGCTCATCTGCTCATGTGAAGATAACTTTTGTTGGTAAAGATTTCACTACATCACAAAAGTTATTTATTTATATTTTTATTTTATGTAGGTTACTCTTGCCCAGTCCTGTTCAAATGCTTCCCCTGGTCTTCAAGAGAGGGCAGCTGGTGCTCTTTGGGGATTGTCTGTGTCAGAAGCCAACAGGTAATGCAATTATTTTCTCTTGTATGTGGACATGCAAACCTATTCAAGAGTGATAAAACCCCGGGCATCTAAGCACATTATGTGATTTTTTTAAAACTTAAAGGCCTCATCGAGATTTTATACATATGGAATACAAGGCTTAAAACAATGGGAGCAAAACCACTCTTATTCATGCTGCCTTATTGTGCTTTTCCATTGTACAAACTTGTCAAAATCCTTTGCTATTATCCAATTCTTCGCCTTGCCAAATTGGGCTGATACTAGGTTGATACAGCCCTAAACCTTTAGCAATTTGCATATTTCTGTTATGATGTCAGCAACATGCATTTTTGTGCTAATCGACATTATCCTGGATAAAATAATTTAGGGCAACCAGATTTTTATTCTTGTTCATGATTTTTCCTAGAAAAATACTCTCAATTGATCATTTGCTGTAATTATAATAAGCAGAATATTCATGCTATTTATCGTTTTGGTTTTTGTTAGCATTGCTATTGGACGAGGAGGAGGTGTTGCTCCCCTGATTGCACTTGCCCGCGCTGAAGCTGAAGTAAGCATTTCATAAGCCAGCCCTTGCAGTTAGTGTATGATAACTTTTTTGCTAGGTGGCATCTCAGTTGAATTTAACTTACGCTTTTGCTTTCAGGATGTTCATGAAACTGCGGCAGGGGCTCTTTGGAACCTTGCTTTTAACCATGGCAATGCTCTTCGGATAGTGGAAGAAGGTGGGGTTCCTGCACTTGTTCATCTTTGTTCTTCATCGTTATCCAAAATGGCACGCTTCATGGCTGCATTGGCGCTGGCATACATGTTTGATGGGAGGTAAATATTCTAGCCTTATCACCCGACACGCCCTCATCTATTTTATACATCTACATCTTTTCACAGGACCTTGTTGTACTAAATTCACTGTATCCTTATTCTATAGTTTAGTTGGTTTATGACGTTTTAGCAATGGCTTATCATGATGAGATCTCTGGTTAGAGATAACTTTTACGGGCGACTGAAAAGTGGAATGTATATCGTCTCTATCCTTATGAAAGCAGCCTCTAAATTGAGTAGGTAAAACTATGGATTAAGCATTTTGATACTAATTTGCTTCGTATGATGTTTTTTAGCAGAATTGATGAGTTTGCGTCAATGAGTTCATCATCAGAAAGCACTTCGAAGAGTGTGAGCTTGGATGGGGCCCGAAGAACGGCTTTGAAGCATATTGAAGCTTTTATCCGTACATTCTACAATCCACAAGCATTCGCCGCAGCTGCTGCTTCATCCGCTCCGGCAGCCTTGGCACAAGTAACCAAAAAGGCTCATATTCAAGAAGCGGGGCACCTGAGATGCAGGTTCCCTTTCCTCATTCTTTTCCCTCATTGTATTCCGGATTCATTTGCAGTTTTAAAATGATCCATTTGCGGTTCTACAATACTTTATGGTTTTCATGAAGTTATTCAAAGATAGTCTCCAATATGGTATCCGTCTTCCTTTGTTCTACATGTTCATATCGTGCCTGTGCATGCATTTGCACTCATGCATGCATTGTGTGTGGGTAGTGACTTTAAGCCGGTCCCTCGGAATTAACACGACTTTTATATTCCGTAGCGGGGCTGAAATTGGAAGATTCATCTCGATGCTTCGAAACTCTTCTTCAATACTCAAGGCATGTGCAGCATTTGCTCTACTCCAGGTAGAACACCAATCTCTTCCGGGTTCCGATAGTTACGGAAATCTTGTTTGGAAAACTTCTTTCTGAATTACGATACGTATTGCTAAGGGATATTCACATGTTCCATCTGGTCGAAATATTCGCAGTTCACCATTCCCGGTGGTCGACACGCCGTGCACCATGCTAGCCTTATGCAGGGTGGTGGAGCAGCAAGGGTTCTGCGAGCAGTAGCCGCAGCGGCGACGTCCCCAATCGAGGCTAAAATCTTTGCGAGAATTGTGCTTAGAAACTTGGAGCTTCACCAAGTAGAGACATCCATCTAAATTCAGGAACCAACTTAATTTATTAGTCAACTCAAGAGTTTCATTAGTTTATAAATTACATTTCTAAGGTCTCTCTCTCTCTCTCTCTCTATAACCTTTCGAACGTAAGAACTATCAGAACAAAGTCTGTATTGGTTCATTTTTGTGTGTGTCTGTATTCATTTATATATATATATATATATTCATATATATGGGCAAGATCCGCTTACACTATGTAAAAATAATATCTTTTTTTATTCTAGTACTAAATTCTTTAAATCTTAAACCTTAAATCATAAACTCTAACGAGTTAAAGAAATATTTATTTGTAGGTTATAAATTTTAACTAAATCTAAGATATTTATTTATTTAAATATTGATTTTAAACGGTAAAAGTGGATTCTAATCATATATATATATATATATTGATAGAAATTGGATAGGCCTCGTTAAAAACCCCCTTCTTGACCTCCATGTTACAACAATAACATGAAGGGCATGGGAAGGAGGAAAAGAGTGCCTAAAAATTCATTAATACCAGAATAATATATATTCATCCTAAGAAGTTCTGTTACAACATAAAATTTAAAAACCAAGCACATAACATAAAAACCAGCTCAATAATTGTGCAACCTAGCCAATAATTTAATATTCATCCTATTCCTTCTTTAGCTAGTTTATCCGCTTCACAATTAGTAGCTCTCAAAATATGCCTAACAATTACCCCTCTACTCTCCACTAATGCAACAATGTCTTTCACCAACGGCTGGAACATAGGAGTAAATACACCTGGATTTTTAATCCATTTCAGTGCATTAAGGGAATCTGATTCCAATATGACCCTTGGAAATGAAACCAAAGATTTCTCCTCAATATACATCAGCCCTCTTTTTATAGTTAATAGCTCTGAAAGAATAGGAAGACCCCCCAATCCTTTCGGAAAACGAACCATGCTGCAACCCTTGAGCATCCTTTAATAATCCACCAATGCCTCCTTTTCAATTTTACTAATTCGTTCATTGAACTTTCGAATTGTTCATATTTTGATCACTTTGAATTATTATATTATTATTTTTGTATGATATGGTATTGTTTATTATTATTTAATATAGAAATAATTTAAATAAATAATAAAATAATATTTTATTATTATTAAATTTAAAAAGACTTAAAATAATCACGGCTATCGTCAACTACCATCGACCTTTAAAATAATAATAAAATTATTTTTATATTAATTAATAATAACAAATATCATATCATACAAAAATAATAATATAATAGCTGATAGTTGATTCCAATATATATATATATGGTTTGACCAACTAATTTAATTAGTTGATTCGAAAAATTGATTTGATTAATTTTTTATATAGATGTGTTTGGTAAAATTTAGCTGATAGTTGGTATGGGTAAAATGATAAATAAGAGTATGATACATTTAGTTGTTAAGTACATATTGTTTTATAATACTTTAGTCTTTATTGGTGTAAAATTATTCGGATAAAATGCTTTCGACAAGGAATTAAAAATTACTTAAGAAAATTAGTGAATATTTTTGAAATTTTTGAATATATTTTTTAAATTTAATATTTACAAATATTAACCATGTGAGATTGATACATACAATTAACCTTATAAAATATCAACACTACATTTTTTTCTATTTTCATGTTTTGCTTTATCTGATGGCTCTTGGACTGTGTTTGGACATTATCTCCACATCCGATCCCTTTCTGAAGTTGGTTACGGCATGGATTCACCTTCCTGGATATTCACGCTCTACAAAAGAAGCATCGTCATGGAAATAGGTGAGTGCATTGGTCTTGTTGTTAGGATATATTATCAAACAGAAAATGGGAGGAGGGGCCATTTCGCCCGAATGACAGTCACGGTGGATCTAAGCAAGCCTCTTGTGTCAAAGATTATCATCAATGAAAGGACTTAATTATTGAGTATGAATCGCTTCCCAGTATTTGTTTCAAATTTGGGAAATACGGACACCTTCTTCAGGGTTGCCGTAGCCACAATTCTGAACAGAAAAATGATCATGTTGATGATGAACCCGCTGCTAGCAACCTTTCCCCTAGTGATAGCCCCTTTGGACCATGGATGGTCGTAGAGAGAAGACAACGTCGAGCTAAAAAAAAGGGATCCAACGCCAAGCCATTCTGCTAGCGAGGTGTTTCAAGTTTCACGTTTTAATCCAATTTTTGATTTAGAAAGCGAAGGCACCCTAGATGAGATTAATGAAGCAGCCTCATCGGGTAATAAACAGAACCAGCAGCTGAAACACACCGTCCAGGCCAGACCTAAGCTTAAGAAAAAAGGCAAGGTTCCCTCCGTGACCAATGCTCCCAAGAATTTTAATATTCAAAAACCCCTTGTTTTGACTCTTGCAGATTTCCCTGTGCTATCTCGGCCCCAAATCAAAGCCAGCAGCTCTCATTTGGCTCCAAAAGCTCATCAACCTGCCCTCACCGATGTCTTTAAGCATACTGTTGTTGTGCTCGATGAGAATAGGAATACAGATCCGAATACCTCTTTGAATCTCGTGGCGATTGGTCAATCTTTGCCGAAGCCCCGGAATCAACCCGGAGGTGATCTACCTGATCCAGTTGATTCAAGCAGTAGACTTCTTATAAATCAGTAAATTTCTTCTATCTCCCAAGGGGCACCTTTAGTTGCTCTCTCGAATGATGCCAACCTCGAGTTAGGAGGTGATCATGCCGTGGCAATTGTTGAATAAGCACAACACCCCTTTCCTCATGCTTATTGTTTAATGAATTTAAAAATCATGTATTGGAATGTACAGGGCTGTGGGCACGCGAGATTTCTTCCTGCCGCCAAACAATTTCTTCGTGACCGTAGACCGGATGTTGTCTTATTTGTTGAACACCGCATTAGCGGGCGTAAAGATGATTTTGTTATTGCTTTTCTTGGCTTCCCTAACTCTTATCGTGTAGAAGCGATGGGTTTCTCTGGGGGAATATAGATTGCTTGGAGTGATTCTGTTTCGGTGTAAGTCATTCTTAATCACTTTCAATTTGTGCATTGTTGTATCAGATGCATCCTCGGTGGTAATGTCATCTATGCAACTTCTGTTTACTCTTGCCTGATTGATACATGCATCATAAGGCTCATATCAAAGGAAAAAATAATAAATCTTCCAAATGATCCACTCATCCAAGTCTTGGAAAAGAAGACCCGAATAACACCAGATTTTCGACGACTTTTTGAATGGGATCCTGATCTTATTTGGTAAATATTTCTTCTGGAGATCCGACCGGTTGTCTCTTATCTTTCTAGTGGTTCTTGAATAACATCAATATGATATTGAGAACTCAAGATATGACCATTCTAGTGAAGACAATGCATGCAGAAAATCATATACGGATTAATACGAGATTTTGTAAATATTACGAATTTTCAATATTTTTATTGATTATTTGTAATATAATTTAACATAAGATGATGCATTATCTTTTAGGATTAAATTTATTATTTTATTAGGAATTAGAGTTAAAACATGTTTAGTTTGTTATTATTTTATTCATTAGTTATTTAGGACATTTAGAACTCATCCCCTATATAAAGGATGTTTCATTCAACTTTGTAAAATAGATTTCTTTGATTAATAATACAACGAGAATTCGTTTTTGCAAGTGTTGATTGTATTGTGCCTTCGAAACTTCTTATCTTAGAGTTCTTTCAAGTTATTGTGAGGGATATTAATCTTCACACTCAAATTTGTCTTTTCATAGCGACTAGGAGAGTTGGTTAGAGCCATATTATCGAGTTTGTCTTTCCATTGCGACTAGGAGGGTTCGATAGGACATTTATCTATTTATTTTCCACAAATACATCCTCATCATCATCATCTTTACCGTTCACCTTCATAAGGGAGATCTTTTGATTTATTGGTTATCATATTTTATTCTTAATTTCTTTATCTTTTGTTTATCTTGTTTTAATCTTGTTTCTTACCTTGTTTCCAGCACTTAAAAGAAACTCTAAAAGATCCTAGTTGATGTCGTCACTTTCCCCTATTCATCCTCATTTGTTCTTCATCGAGTCTAGAGCTTTCTAAGTTTGATTCTTCAAAAAGAGCAAAATTCATTAACCCGCCACTATTCTCCTATCAATTGGTATCATATTTGGGCCGATTCTTGGAAAGAACCAACCAATATTGCTTGTTCTTGCACAGAAAACCGTCAAGGTACCCCCAACGGAGTTAATTCACAAAAGATTAATCATTTAAGGTTCTTTTTGTTTAATTTTAATTTAGCTTCAAATCATTCTTTTTATTTTTCTATTTTTCATCCCAAAAAAGGAGGAAAATGGACCAATAAAAAATACAAAAAATTCAAAAATTCAAAAAATGTAAACAAAATAATTTAGGGTTGATTTTCTCCATATATCATATTCATTCTAAGATTAATCTCCAGGCCAAAAGTCACTCCAATCGGAGTTCATTGGTGCCTTCAAATATATCGTTTAAGTTTCATCGACAGATTCGGTCTAGAATCTTGTCGAATTTCTTGAAAATTATACATAAGGAATTTCGTGGTGAAAATTTCCATATTGAAACTAAATATATTTAAGATAATTCACCAAAAAATTAAGAATTTTTGGAGATCAATAACACGTTCGAACAATGTGATCACGAAAAGCAGATTGTTTGAAGACTCACCATTCAACATAGTCTACAAGATACTACTAAAGGTATTTCGTTCTAAAAATTTACATGTAGTTTCTACACACATCTAAAAACATTCAAGAATTTTTTCCAAAATTTTTGGACACTAGTAACCTTGTCAAAAAATTTGCTCAAGTTGACATAGCGTTTTCTAAGTTTCTAGTTTGGTTCTTTTTTTTTCCTTTAAACTCTTAGTGCTTTAGGTTTTTTTGTTTTCCTTTTTATTGTTCTTTTACATTATCTAATACATTATCTTCCTTGTTTTAGTAGGACTAAAGAGTTTCCATACTTCTTCCTTCTTTGAATTCTCGTTCTCTTAGAATCTAACCATTGTTTGGTCTCTTAAAGCTTTTAAGTTTTTTTTATCGCATTTGCTAGTAATTAAACTCCGATACGAACTGTGGAAGACTACTTGGTAAAGTGAGTTTTAAAGAGTACACGATCAT